AAACTAGTTTATTCTTTTTGTTCCTTCAAGAATGCCGTAGCATTTACTAGATATGGGGGTAGTCTGGTATATATAAAATGGTCACAACGTGACGGAACAACAGTGTAGGTAATGAATAATTGAACTGCAGTCAGAGAGTATGTAATTAAACGGAGTATTGTTGAAGTCGAGCTCGTGAGACGTTTTAGCGACTGTTGAAATTAAGTGTATCGGTAAAGTTGTATTCGGGGATATTTCTAGAAAACAGGTGGCGTGATACTAGTCACGTGACCTCGCTGACGCAACAATATAATCTCCTTAAGCTAAAGAAAGTGCACTCATTTAGGCAGTATATGTTTCATCAATAAAAATACTTAATAAAATTAGGATAATCTTAAACGTTACAACCAATCCACAACTTACCGAGTTCAACTGACGTTTCAGCTGGGCTACATTTCGTTTTTCCTGAGTCAATTTTAATCTTTCTTTTTCCAGAAGATAGTGAAGCTCTGTGATCTTTCTTTCCACCAAATCCTATCAGAAACATGAATCTAAGTAAGTGTCATTACCTATAACTGTACCACTGTCTTTGCAAAAACATATATACAAGTATCATTATGCATTAAACATTAGTAGAGAGAGACACACACAAGCTAGCATCACATACCAACATAACCAATAATTATCATCATTCTTAACATTTTAGCAGAAATTACATACGCGAGCGTCATGCCCATGGCTTACCAGTAGAGTGATGCAAAAAGTATCACTGTCAGTGAAATTTTAGAAGAAACACTTGTAACAAAAATCTCAATAACACTTGAGCAGAAGCGTAAGCGTGTCATTATGACCTTTAAAACCCAAAAGAAACTGGTAGGAAAGGGCCGTTTTTTAATATCAAAACTAATAACAAACGTATAGAAATATATTTCTGTAACAAACTTAAGCACATGTATCAAACCGCAAAAAGTGGAATTTTGTTAACACTAGTCACAAAAACCTAAGAAATTCTGGAATTCTCAGCGAAGATTTTGGGGCAGAAGCCAGCATAAAAATAGAAAAGTTTACGTAGATGTAGTCCGTTTATTCAAGGAATAGATAATTTTGAAAGGCTAGAAAGAGTTTCGTATATTTTCGCTGATGTAATATTTTGTCGAGGAACGCCCAAAACTGTCAAGCCGGAAGTAAAAATCCGGAAAGAAAGTGCATATAGTGCCAAATTCATTATGTCTGTGCTACTTTGGATCACAGGATCATGGCAATTCTTATAGCCATTTTTATTTATAAATATATATTCTAAATACGTACTTTAATTATATTTTTGACTTTGCCATTCGACCACACATTTAGTGATAAATCACTGAAAACTACTGAATGTTATTAAACTTACTTTCGAAAAAGATTTTCATATTTATAGAATGGTTAAAGACTTTTCCTCACGAAATATTTGTTTGTCATTAAGCACAAAGCTACACAATATGGCTGTCTGTGTCATGCCCACCACGGGTATCGAAACCTGGATTCTAGCGTTGTAAGTCCGCAGACATACCGCTGTACCACTGGAGCCCTTACGAATAAACAAAAAATGTTGCAATAATTGTTGTGACGTTCCGTGTTAACGAATAATTAAAACATAGGTAAACCATTCTCACATATAACGGGAGGTTCCAAAATGTTTTACGTGTAAAATTATTCGAAAATAAGTGGAGAGCTTCCCGGTGCCTCAGAAATGAGTATGAGGGCTTATAATGCTAAAAATTGGGCTTCGATAGCCGCAGTAGACAAACATGCCATTATGTAGCTTTGTGCTTAACAACAAACAAATAAACAAGTAGAAAAAAGGCATAATAGTTTGACAAAGGCAGTCAAATCTTTAGTTCACGACTACAATCTCACATTCCCGCAAAATTACAGAGGCGAAATAAAATTGCAAGGTAAGTTAGAATCAGTTGAATAAGTAACTTCGAACCTAAGGTATTGGTACTCTCCAGGTATCAATCAATCTCAAGCAGACAAAAAACTTGAAACATATATTTTCCTCATGTATACAGTACAAATATGCCAGTTTAAACTGTAACACAAGGTTAAGTGAAAAAAGGGTACTAAATTTTTCAAAACAAATTAAAATCTAAACCACAGGACCCCAACGTTTTCAGGATAAAGGTTTGAATTATATTGCTACAGATGGGCTTCACTTAAGTAGGTTAGATAGAAGTATGTTTCAGGAACCCTTAAATTATATATTGATTAAGGATAGTTTCAACTAAACTTGCATACTAGCTACTGGTAAGGGAGTTTGGCAAATCTGGATTGCATGAATTGATATATCTTAGGGCAACGAGGAGCTAAGAAATGGAACACTTAAGCAAAATTAAAAATAAATTTAATAACGACGAGAAACCCACTTGAAGTAAAATTGTATAGCAGAGACAG